CCCCCCCCCGCCGCCGCCGCGGCCCCTCAGCCCGGCAGAGCGCGGCAACCGCCCCTCAGCCGCGGCCTTGACACCTCATTGGCTGGCTGGGTCAGGCGACTGCGATCAGCCAATCAGGCGTCGAGTTGAGGCCGCTTTGTTCTCCCCAGAGCCTGAGGAGGCAGCGGGGGCAGCCGGGGCGGCGGGGGCCGAGGAGAGGGAGTGAGGGACAGCGGCGGGGGTGGCCGTTCCTTCTGCCCTGCCCTCAGGAATGGGAGATAAATTAATATAGTTAAAATTCAACTCTGTCGAAGTGCTGAGATGCTCTGCAGATATCATCAGTCACACACTATAGAAACATGGCAAAGTACTCTACTTCTAGAAATGGTGACAGGAACTTGCCAGAAAAACATTTGGATTTAACTAAGTAAGTGTTATTCTGGGTTTTTTTTTTCAATATTTATCAAGTACTTACTATAAAACAGGCCTTAAATTCACCACTCCTGTAGGAGTGACATGTTCTCCCAGTGCATTACAGAAGCCCCATTGCTGAGGCCCACTGAAACAATTAACTACCTGGAAGTGACTAAATCAAAACCATGCTTAAACTGCCTTATTTTCTTACTGTTTGTTGAGCTCCAATTCTGTACTGAGTTCATGTGCATCTCTGTGGGATCAGCCAGATGCAGTAGTGGCTGTTTGGATGATGGGACTCAGGGCACGCTAGACTGATGGAGGCCAAAGGATGCTTAATACTGATGCAAGAAGTTGAAGGGTAGAGAGGAGAAGTTCTTGGAAAAGATGTGCGCTGGTGGTTACTCAGTGTGTAAATCCCAAGGTTAGAAAATCCCCTAAAGTGGGGGAGCCACTCCAGTGGCTGGGGGTTGGGGGGGGTTTGGGAGAGCATTAGGGAGTTACTATACAGGCTTGCCCTGTTCTCACTTTTCCCTCGTTTTCTGTTAAAGGCAACTACTGCAGACAGGGAGAACCTTGATATGAATCAATATGGCTGTTCTCAGATGCTCTACAGGGAATTTCTGCTTGCTTGGCGGTATCCTCAGGCTACAGATTCTGCTAACAGGAAAGGAAACCCAGCATAAAATGAGACATGAGACCAAACAGTGGCTCTTAATCAAGAATACCTACTGTGGATGTCATTGTCTGCTCTCAGTCTGAATATTTCTTCTATACATCCCCTCTGAGATTATTTTTTAATCATTTTAGTACTGAGAATTTTCAGTTTTTCTAGCAGATGGAGGTTCTCTGACCCAAATGATTGGCGGGAAAAAAAACTACTACTGAAAAAGCTGAGGAGACTGCAGAATTCCAAAAGTTGCTTAAACTCTATGGGAAATTGTCTTATAAATGAATTTTTTTACGTTGTCAAGCAGTTGAGCATCCTAAATTTGAGCAGAAAAGCCTTTCTGACGTAGTTCCGTGATGTAAGTCACAAGTGTCCCACTGAAATTAAAGGGACTTGTTTCCTTTCTTATCTTAGCATAAGAAAGACAGGAGTTTAAGCAAATCTTGCACCAGTCCTGAGAAAAAAATGGGGAAAAAACCCTGACAACTCTAATTCCAGTGGTAGCACTTCTGTTTCCTTGGGAAGCACGTTAGTGTATCTTTGTTTCAAATTCACAGTACAAAAGCACTGCATATCTGAAGTGCACTACAGCTGCTCTGTTTGTTACTCTACTCTATATGGCTGTGTGTGCTCCTTAAAACTATTCTCCCTTTTCTGAACTGTAAGAAGCAGTGAGCTCACTCAGAAAACAAAGCTCTCATAAATGGGTTCTTCAGCATGAAGAAATCCACTTGTTTTCTCCTTTCTTATGAAGTTTCTGAAGTGTATATACACATTAATTACAGTGTCAACAACAATGTGGTTTACATTTCTAAGCTGCTTACTTTAGCAAGGCTTTCAAAGCAAATTATCAGTATTTGTTTTAAAAAAATCTATAATCTTTGTAGAACTGTAAATCAGTTCACGCTTTCATTTATGAACAGGAGCTCTGAGCAAGTCCTTGATGAAATATAAGCAAATTGTTTTAAGTAGCTGCCCGATAATAAGTACTTTATGGATGGTATTTAGAAGTAGTTATAGTGTTGTGTATCTCTAAGTACAAAACAACTTGGTTTGAGTCAGTATTTTGCTCCTCATAATCAAATTTCAACAACATTGTATTTTAATGAAAGTAATAAACCAGCACGAGTTGGTAGGACACAAGTAATTTAATCATGAATACAACAGCAACAAACACACAAATCCATCTACCTAAAGTTGGGTTTCACCTTTTCCTCTGCCTCATCTGGAACATCATCGCGTCGGACAACCAAATTATACGGTTCCTCCATTGTCTCTTCGTCTGATTTCTGTTCCTCCTCCAAAGCCCATTTGGAACGTTTCCCTCCCTCAGAGGAGACAGAGGAATGTTCTGAATCTAAATTGTCAGGGATGCTGTCAGCATTAGCTTCTGCTAGACACTTATGGCACAGCCTGTAGCGTCTTGTTCCCTGCTAAAAAAAATCCTGTTAGGTCCGTCACTTGGTGCTTGCATTTTCTGCAGATCAGTTTGCCAGCCTGGTGTATCTAAAGAGAGTGAAAATTTGGAAATGTCAGTGTTCATCCAAAAGCAGATTATTTATTTAGAAAAGGAAAAATCCCTGAATTGTTCTTAAAAAAAAACCAAAAAACAAATTAAAAATACAATTTGCCCATTTAAATGATAAATAATTGAAGTAGATATGCAGCTAGGAAGCTTTTCTGGAATTAGGTCTGGAAATGACTGAACAGCTGGTACCAATGTGGGGTTTTTTTTCTAGGCTCTGATTGCAGTGGCACGTACCGTTTGGAAGTGGTTACGTAAATGCTCCAGTCGGGTGAACCTCTTCCCGCACACTTCGCACGGGTACGGTCGCTCCCCTGTGTGACACCGAAGATGTCGCTTCAGGTCCGCGCGTCGTTTCACCGTGTGCGTGCAGAAGGGACATTTGAATCGAATCCGAGGTAGGTCACCTGTTGTGGAAAATACAGGTAGAAAGTCAAATAGCAGCAGTCTGTCTTGATGCAGTAGTTTGATTGGTTTTCAGCTAAAATAAGCAGCAGTTTGGTTTTCCTCTGGTCTGTCACTAAATAGGAAAAATTCCAAAATATAACCCCCCAAACCAGAGCTGGGCCACCAGACACATGACATATTTCTTACTGAATGTGTTAAATGACCATTTGATAGTGTATTCTTTCTTACTCAGGGTATTTTTTAGACCTGTAACATCATAATGATGCTATATACAGTCATGATACCTGCCTCTTCCATCAGCTCATAGTTCATAGCTTTGACATTTACAATCTCTACGTAATATACTAGGGTGCCCAAAGTCTTACAAATTTGCAATTATCATAAAGTATCGGTACATCAGTTTCCAAAGGAGTGCACATGAGAATACACCCATCAACTTTATCCACCATCCCAGGCACGTCCTGTCAGTCCATCTAGAGCTTTGATGCTTTCTGTAGCATGGCCAAACAGGCGTGAAATTTGGATGGATTTGGACTTTAAGGGAGATGCAGCCTCCTGCCAATGCCACGAGCTGCTCTTGTGAAGGACTCAGGTTGGATTTAGATTGAACACCACTGCTATTACTTTTGGGGGTCTTACAAGAGAAATTCGGTCCTTTGGGTCCGGGTCAGTTACAGCTCTTGATGCTTCATTAAACTCCACTTAGATCCAAATTATCTGGCATGTATTGCTTTAACTTTACCCAATACCTGAGTCAACTTCTCTAATCCTCATGCCCTGTTCTGGCTTCAAAGCCTCTCATTCTGTTACGCACTATAACGAAGCAGATCAAGAAAATAATCTGCTACTCAAGGCATCATTTTGATTTCATGCAGCTCCACAGATTCTATCCAAAAGATCATCTCAATTCTTCCAAACAAAGACAAACTTTGCAAAACTACAGAGAGTTTTTTACCTTCATTCCAGCTGCTCATTACACCTAAAATGGTGGGCATTGAGGTGTACAGTTCCTCTGCTTTTAATTCCATGAACTCGGGAGTTTTTGAAAGTTCCTGTTCTAGCTGAGCCACACACCACTTCTTCGGTACCGGTTCCGATTCGTGACTGTATCCATAATCATCACAAACAACATCGTTCTCGGCGTCAAATTTGGCCTCCTCCCTGACCCGGGAGATGTGGCTGGGATCCGATGCGCTGCAGTCCCCGCTGCCCCGCTCAGCTTTGGTCGATTTACACTGAGCGAGATCGCGGCTCTGCGACAGCCCGAGGTACCTGCGGTGCTTTCTCATTAAGCCCTGTTTTCTGCCTCTTTTCAACAGCTGTGTCTCTGCCTCCTGTAGGATCACCTGTGAGGACAGCTGACTGCTGTAGCTGCTCCAGGAATTTTCATTCGCCGGGTTACCTTTTTCATCCAGGACTGAGTAGGAACGCCTCGGGTTGCTCTTTGCTTTCCTTCTCGACTGATAAAGAGACGGAGAGGCAGGTTCACTGTTTGTACTTTTGGCCGAAAGGCTGAGGTAATGATCCTTTTCCTTTTCATTAATATCCAGTGAGGACTTAATGAATGTCTTACAGACATTAAGAATATCTGTCATCTGCAGATAGCTTGCAGCTGACATCACTTCGATCACATTTTGACCAGTTAAAGACAATATGCCTGAATACACAAAGTCCAGGATAACCGTGAATGTCTCTGGAGAGAAGACCTCAAAAGTAGCTACTGTGGGCTGAGTCGTCTCCTTCGAGCTCTGCGAAAGGAGCATTTTGAAATAGCCGCTGCTGGCAAACAGCACATTGCGATGTGCCTTAAAGACCTTGCCCTCCACCACGATATTGCAGTCACAGAATAAGTCTTGTTTCCGCTGCTCGTTTAGCTGCTCTAGGAGGTGAGACTGGTGGGAAAAAATCTCCATTCCAGGCAGGCAGTAATAGGGAGTCTTGTCCTAAAATGAAAAGCAAGTATAATCATTACAATCTGCACCAATGTTGCTGAATCCCATTTAAAGAAATGAGCTCTATTTTTAAAAACATAAACACCATGCACGTTATCACATTCTCAGTTGTATCTCCAAACTCCCTGCAACCCCTACCCCAAATAATAACGTGAGAACAAACTTCGACGACTCTAAAAGAGGTGAAAAGCTGCCAGAGCAGGATTACTGCGTATCCCAACAAAATTCAGATTATATCTATGAACTCGTGAACGGTTCACAGAGAAAAAACCCTTGACCCTGCAGCTGCGGGCAGTGCCAGGACTGACGAGCGGCTCCGTGTCTCGAACTTGGCTGTTGACTCCGCCGTTGCCGGGGCGCATCCAAGGCGGAGACCGAGCCCCGGCGAACAT